CATTTGTGCAAGCATATATGCTGTAATGTTTTATATGATTAAAGGTTTCAACACAAAATGCATTTTTCCTATAACTCTGGCCCTCCTATGAAATTTTTTTAACTTTCTGGCCCCCCAATAAAAAAGTTTGCACACCACTGTACTAGACGATCGGGGAGACCTATTTTGTAGAGTTTGTAGATAAGGCCTGTATACCAGACTCTATCGAAGGCTTTAGCTATGTCGATAAAGACCGCTATGGTCTTATGACAACGAGGATAAAAACCGCTGAGGATATATTCCACAATACGGTGGACTTGTTGGGGACATGAGTGTTGCGCTCGGAAACCGAATTGATGGGGAATGATAAGAGGGTCACCGTCTGTGGGAAACAGATAGCGCCTCATACGTGTTTGGATGACTCTTTCGAAGAGCTTGCCCATTGCCTTGAGGAGGCTAATGGGGCGGTGACTGGAGGGGGAGGTTGAGAGGCTTGCCTGGCTTGGGAATTCCAATCTCAGTTGCCTCTTTCCACGTAGTGGGAAAGTAACTAAGGTTGAAGCAGGCGTTGAAGATAATAGATAAAAAGGTCCTGCTCCTGAAACCTGCTCAGGAAAGTGTTTTAGGGCTCGGTTGGAGATGTCATCCGCGCCCGGGGCTTTTAGGTTAAGTTCTTTGATGGGGATGAAATCTCATCATTGGACACAGAGATAGGTTTGGCGGCCGTAGGGGGTGAGTTCCGGCGGCGAACCTCATCCTCCACTGCCTGGACGTGTGAGGGGTCGACGGGTTGAGAACTAGGAGAGCATTGAGCGGCAATGCTATCTGAAAAGCACTCAGCCTTCTCCTCGTCCTCGAAGGCAACCGTGCCGTCGGGTCGGGAGAGAGGGGGAGTGTGGGTGATAGCATCTATGCTGAGGGCTCTGGCCATCTGATAGTACGCTGTATGAGATGGAGAGATATTCTCCATGAGTTTACTCTTTTCGAGGTCTCGAAATTCAGAGAGGCGCAAACGGAGTTCTCGTTGAAGACGATTGGCCGCGCGCCTATATTCGGGGGTGGGATATTTAGCTGCTCTCCGGAAAGCAGCTTTTTTGGCTTTTATTAGGTTGCTAATATGTAGGGGAAGCCCACTATTGTTAGCAACCGGGACGACCCTTTCGTTCTCCTTAAGGGAGGATTTGATAAGGGTGGAGAGTGAATCGACCGCGGTGTCCATTTTTTCGGGACTGTCTAAGTCCGACGATAGGGAGATGGTACAGTCCTGTGAGTCCAGAGCTCTAGCTAGGGACTCCTTGAATCCCTTCTAATTAGTGAAGGTTTTCGTGTGTGTTGGTGGAGGTGGCTGATGGCCAAGAATGAGGGAGACCGGTCGGTGGTCGGATCCTAGATCGTCTAGTGTCTCGATTGCTCTGAGGTTAAGAGAAACTCCTTGGAGTAACGCAAAATCTAGTACATCGGGGGCGTGATCGGTGTTATCGGGAAAGTGAGTAACACCGAGGGGACTATGGACGGTATCAACAGACTGCTTGATATCGAGCAGTATCTTGCCACTAGGGGACGTAGTACGGCATGTCCATTCAGTATGCTTGGAGTTAAAATCTCCAAACATAATGACTGAATTGCCTAAAGACAAAATGGCCTCAAAATCTTTTTTGAGGGGATGGGTTCCTGAAGTGATGTAACAGGAGGCTATGAGGATGGACTGATGTCCTGTCATAGCTAGCCTACATACCGTGGCTTCCATGTTGGTAAGCTGCGCAGTAGAAATGGGCGAGCAGTCAAGTGTCTTCTTGTAATAGATGGCCGTTCCGCCGCCTCGGCGGTCGGGTCTGTCGTTACGAAGAAGAGAGAAGTTTTTAATAGAAAGACCTTTAGTGTCCTTAGTTTTGAGAATAGTTTCCTGTAGGAGGAGGAAATCGACTTCACGATTTCGGAGAAAGAGCATAAGCTCTGGGAGGTTATTTCGCAAACCACGAATATTAGAAGATACAAGTGATAAACCCTTAGGTTTGATACGACCGTGAGATTTTGGTAGAGCAAACTGCTCTGTCATTGAAGTTAAGTTAATTAAATTAACTTAACCTACAACGCTAACAGAAGATTATGATGCTCTGAAAGAGCGAAGAGACGTTCTTGAGGGGACTTCGCAGCGCGCAGTTTGCGTGCTACTACAGTGATTTCTCTAATGTAATATTCCTAATAGCAGAATACAGTGTATTGTAGTCATCAGCTGTGGGCTCTGATTCATGGTGGTAGGAGGTTGTCCGCGGTGGGTCTGCCTTTCTGGGGCCCCAGGGAAAGACTGGAGGCTGCATAGGCTTGGAGAAGCCCGGAGGGGGCCGAATTATGCCCTGAGGGGGCCTAGGGGGACCCTGAGAGGGCCGAGAGAAGCCCTGGATGGGCTGAGAAAGGCCCTGACGGGGCCGTTGGTAGAGGGCCGGGAATGAGCGGTCATTGACCGGCGGTGGAGCTTGCCTACTGGGGCGAGGTTGAGGTGCGAAGGGGCAGCCCCTGTAGTTAGCCGGGTGGCCTGTCTGTTTGCACAGGACACATGCGGGCGGGGATTCGGCGTCTTTGGGCCGGGGGGCACTCTTTAGTGTTGTGGGGTTCAAGGCACTTAACGCACCTGTGTGGGGTGGAGCAGTTGGCCGCCGCATGACCATATAGTTGGCAGCGGTGGCACTGCGCCGGGTATCCGGGCCTACGTGGGGGCTCAACCTTCACTCTCGACAGGCTACACACTGTCCGTACCTGCCAGAAGATGGCTTTTGCCTCCGGCACGTTGGTTAGTATGACAAGGGCGAGGTTGAACCTCTTGCCCGTTCTACTGTGTATTTTATGCATGGCTTCTACGGGGAAACCTTGGGACTTAAGATCCTCAAGGATTTACTCGTTGGAAAATTCGAAAGGGACGCCTCGGAAGACGGCCCTGACTTTACGCTCTTCCGGGAGAGCGTAAGTGTGATAAGAGACTCGTTCGGCTGTGAATAGCCTGGTGAGTTGGCGGAAATCCTCGATCGAGTTGGGGATGATTTTAATAGCCTCCCCGTTGATGGTGGAGGTTGATGGCATGGTCGTATTTTATGCCGGCGTCGTAACAGGTTTTAGATAACTTGGTGAATTTTGCCTTGTCTCTTAGGAAGACAGGGGGGCGGGACTTGCTTCTTAGCAAGGACTGGAGCACATCGAGAGGATGGTTTTGTCGGAGTTGGGATGTCTAGTGACATAAGTGGGACGGCGGCAGCGGCGGGGGCTGCGGAGGTTGTAGGAGCGGCAGGAGCCGTTGAGATAGGGGGGAGGGTGCGTTTTAACGCGGCACGCTTACCGTTGCGCTTGGAATTCACTGTGGTGAATGTAGACTCCCCGGTTCCGTCGGAGTCACAGGACTCCAATGAACCGGTGCCTGAAGTGGTGGCGGGCCTCTTCCGGGAGGCCGGCGCCGAGGACTCGGAGCATGCGTACTCCATCTCTATGGGGGCAAAAGACTCTACGGGGGCAAAAGAGTTCCTCGTTTCGAGGTATGTCGCGATTACTGGCGGCGGATGGTGTGCCTGAGGGGCAGGGGGGGGGAGCCTGGGCGGCGATGGTGGCGATGGCGGCGAGGACCGTCTCATTGTTATCTAGACCATATTGGTTTATGAGGGCAGCGAGGGACTCAGTTAAGCTATATGTGGCCATTTTGGGGCAGAAGAGCTAAGCTCGGTAACGGTTGGGACGGGCAGGGACTTGAACGCGAGAAGTACTACGAGACAATACACGTAAAAAAAATGAAAATGAAAAAGCGGAGGTCAGTCAAACCTCCCTGCCCGAAGACAGGGGGGCAAGTGTTAGCGTGAAAGTGACTCACCAGCCTCGACGCTGCTCAGCGTGAGCAGGACAGCGGAGGCGCGGGAGCAGGATAGCACTACCGTACTGGTACGAGAGCGCGGACCACCTGGAGGCGACCGTCCGAGAACGATGCCACCAGCGGAGGTAGCAATGCGTCGGCGCTGTACAGCGCGAGCAGGACAGCGGAGGCGCGAGAGCGGGAGAGCACTACCGTACGAGGACGAAAGCGCGGACTACCTGGATGTGACCGCTCGGAAACGATGCCACAGGCGGAATGAAAAGTTTGTGGTTATAGATTACTGTATATATACTATGGGTGCGTTTGGCAGAAAAAAGCGCTAGCAAGCGTTTGTAAGCAAAATGGAGATCGTAAGCGGTAAACGCTGTCAAATCGTAAGTAGCTATTTTCCTCTAGGACACGAAGTTAGTTTTAACCGGGGAACCTAACCTAATTTAAATATATGTTTGTGAAGTATTCATATTAAAAACTTACCAATCATGAATTTTTAATAACATGTATATGTCTATTCATGTCATTATATTACTTAAAACTAATATTGCAAAAAAACAACTTATAAACTCTACTTCAAAACAAACAAATTAAATAATCAAAATGGCAGATTGTGTCAGCGCTACTGAAGTTAGCAAAAGTGTTCTGGCCGAAAACTGTTTAGTTTCGCCATTTTGCTTACAAGGTACAAGATACGTCTGTACTCTTATTAGTTTGTGGTACAAGCGCTTGCTAGCTGTTGCTAGCGCTTTTTTCTGCCAAACGCACCCTTTGTTTGTGGTTGTGGGGTGGGGTCTGTGGTTTGTGCATACCACAGATAACCATAGCCCATGCAGATAACTAAAATATACTAGTCAGAGATGCATACTGAAAATAAATAGTATCTTTGTCTTCTGTTTGCTTCAGTTTATTTATTTATCTATGCTTCAGTTTGCTTCTAGCTTCTAACTTCTATTCTTGGGCTTTAGCTTCACAAGATCATTTTCTTTATATATCTACAGAAAACTGTTAGATAATTTAGTGATACTGTAAGTTGATATCCTAGTAATACATTTTTTATATACAATACATTTTGTAAAATAGACGTTCGTTCTAAGCTATGTTGAAAAACATTTGTGACGTCACATATTCTATCAGCTAAGGAGTAGGTCTTTTTATGGTAAAGGGATAAATTAACAAGATGGGTGGTGCGGTAAGCTCGGGACGTAATAACAATGAGTTGATAGACAATTTAATGGAAGGGAATTACATCCGAAGTCCGATGGTGGAGCGTGTCTTCAGGGCACTCGACCGGGCTGACTTCATGACTCCTGAAAATAGAGACCAAGCTTATAAGGATCTTGCTTGGCGAGATGGGCCGTTGCACTTGTCTTCGCCCTGTATATACAGGTAAGTGTCACTGAGTGAGAAAATATTGATTACACCACAATGTCATTTCAAGTATAACTACCTGCATTTGTATATAATTAAACAGATATAAAAAAATATGTAATAGATATAATAACATATCTGCTGTAATAGGTCACATTGTTAATAGCTAACACATTTTGAGTGTCCCATTGGAGATTGGGTTTTCCATATCCTTTATTAAAAATTGCAGAATTTGGTTATGATAGTGTCATTTATGAACTACATAATATGATATCCTGATGATTGCTTAGTATGTCACTTGAAATTAATTTCACAAATATTATATAGATTAAAAAGTTAACCTATTGGGGCTTTTTATTTCTTTATTTATTTATAAAGGCACTCTAACAAATTGTTCACAAAAATGTATTTTAAAATCAGGACAACATACATAATAATATAACCATTGCTCATATAAACACAGGCGGTTGGGTTTACAATTCGGTCACCTGAATTTGAAGATTCTGTCACTGTGGGGGGGGGGTCAAGGGGGTTTACCTGAAGCACCCCCACTCGATTTTTGCTGCCGGAGAGATCACCCAGCTCTCCAAATTTCTAAATATGAAGCAACCATCCCCTTATATAGTATCATTCGTATGGGGCTAGTTAGACAAGCTCCCATAGAGTGGACACTAGAAGAATTAATAGCAGCTATAGAAATTCGCTCTGGCTTCGGTTCTATAATTAAAGTACGGCGACTTGATAGACGATCAGTGAGTGACAGCAATAGCGTTTCATGGGTTCCAACTCAGACGGTCGTTCTAACTTTTTCTGGACAAAAACTTCCTCCCCATTTTTACTGTTTATACACCACTATTTCAGTGGAAAAATATGTTTTGCCACTAATTCAGTGTCATAAATGCTGTAGATTTGGCCATGTTACTTCCCAGTGCTGATCATCCCCTCGCTGCTTTGTATGTGCACAGAATCATGAAGGTTTATCTTGTACTCGACAAACTCCTACTTGCCTATTCTGCTCTGGTCCCCACACCGCAAAAGACTTACTTGTCCTGAACATCTAAGGCAAAAATCTATTAAACTTGTTATGTCACAAGAAAGTATTTCATATTTAGAAGCTTCAGCTAGATTCCCTCAGACAAAAAGATCCTTTGCTGATACATCAAGAATCCAGCCTCGTAATTGTTCTCAACAGACCCCTTATACTATATCTGACAGTCTTTCAACCTCTTAGGCTCAGCTCTCACAAACTGTACCATATAAAAAACAATTTTTATCCCTCAACGTATCTACAGCCAATTATTAAATTCTGGATATGATATGGCAGCGCATCAGGCAATTGTTGAGAATCCTAATTCTTCCCTTCCTAATGTGTGCTCTACTGGGAAATGACAACAACTCCTCTAGTAATGATAATTTCTGCGAACTTATGATATCAATGCTAATTAACATGATCTCCCGTTTTAGTGACACGGAACTTCCTCTCAGCTTACACCAGAAACTTACTCAGCTTTCCTCCTTAGCCCGTAACATTCACAGTCCCACCAATTCTTCAATGGAATTGTCGGAGCATTAGAAATAAAAAAATGAACTCATTTACCTCATTAATAAACTTCATCCCTTCATTCTTGCCATCCAGGAGACATGGCTTAGACCTGAGTCTCATTTTAGGGTTTCAGGCTATGCATGCCTCCGGGATGATAGGGATGGTCATGCTGGCACCTCTATTTTAATTTCAAGAACAGTTACATTTTCACAAATTCCTCTCCCCTCTCATAGTCCAGCAGTAAATGCTGTTGCTATTAAGGCCCTTGATTTGTTTACATTCGTAATCCTGATGTAAATGTTTTAACAGAACTTGCAACACTTATTTCTTCTCTGGTCACCTCCTATGGTTATTTTGGGAGATTTTAATATGCATCATACTGTTTGGGGCTCCCATCTGTGTGATTCACTGGCTCCCTTATTTTTGGATCTTATTGATAATTTTAATCTCTGTATTCTAAATGACGGGTCTCCTACCCGTCGAGTATCCCCATTACAAAATGTTAGAAGTGCCGTTGACCTAACTCTCTGTTCCCCAGATATTGCTGCCCTTCCTTTGTGGCAAATATTACTTTCTAGCTATGGCAGTGACCATTTTCCTATATTCATCACTACTCCTACTTCACCTAGAATAAATTTTACATTTAGCCCAAGACTAAAGTATAATCTATCCAAAGCTAATTGGCAATTATATTCTACAGTTTTGGAACAAGATGTTTCAACTCTTCCCCCAATTAACGATGATAATATTGCTCCTGTATATATAGAGTTCAGAAATGCAATTATTTCTGCTGCTAATAAGTCAATCCCCTTAAAAAAAACCTTTCAAAAATAATTATCCTTCCCCTCCTTGGTGGGACCAAGATTGTTCAGCAGCTTGTAGGAGAAAGAAGGGCTGAATTAATATACTCCCATTCTATGACTGCAGAGAATTATATCTCCTATAAAAAACTTGCTGCAGAAACCTTAAAATTACTGTCAGACAAAAAGCAAACTGGTTGGTTTAAATTCTGTGAGTTACTGTCACCTAGGACTCGCCCCATCTTTGGACTGGAGAAATGTTAAAAAATATTGCTGTGCAGTTTCTAGTGAAAATATAATTTCTAATGATCCTTCCCTGTGGATAGAAGAATTCTCTAATAAACTTGCACCACAAACAGACCCATCTTATGATGAATGCCTAGTTTTTAATTCTGCTTTTTTAAAAACAAATGATAAATTTGATTTCCTCTTTTCTTCTCAGGAATTGTTTACTGTACTCAATGGCCTTAAAGACTCCTCACCAGGTATTGATGGGATTCCTTATTTGTTTATAATTAATAGTAGTGAGAACACTAAAACTGTCTTACTATCCATTTTAAATTTTGTTTATATTACTGGTAATCCTCCTGCTGAATGGAAAACCCAAATTATTTTGCCCATTCTCAAACCAGGTAAGTCTAGCAATGACCCTTCCAGTTACCGACCTATTGCCCTTTCTTGTACTTTGGCAAAAATCTTGGAACATTTAATAAAAAATCGCTTGGAATGGTTTTTGGAAAGGAATAATCTCTTACCTTAAAGGCAATTCAGTTTCCGAAAAGGTTTAAGTACCATGGATAGCCTTAGTACTTTGGTCACAGATATTCATATTGCCTTTTCTAAACATGAATTTCTCATAGGAGTTATCTTGGATATTTCTTCTGCATATGATAATGTGCTTCTTCCTGTGCTCAGGTAGAAAATGCTTAATCTGAGCATTCCAGTGAGGATAGTCAATTATGTCTCTAACTTTCTCTCTTCTAGATCAATATCTATAAATGTTAAAAATTTCCTGCTTCCCCCAAAAACTATATGGAAAGGACTAAAGTTGTTAAAAACGATTATAAATCAATAGCGCGCTACAGACTATAAAAATTTCTAGCGCGCTATTAAATACGCTATGTTATAGCGCGCTATTTATAAAAAAGTGTGTAGTAGGCCGGCAAGCGCGTTAAGTTTAGCAGCACGCTATATCTCAGAACACGCTACATTACATGTCGTTCATTGGATAGTGCGCGTTTCGTAATAAGTAATTCATAATTCTTTTTATAATCCTAAAAATACTTTTAAGGACTATACTTTTTAAAACAAAATAAAATTAATCATTTTTTTATTATAATTGATGTAAACGTTATTTTAACCTCATTATAAATTATAAATCAAAGGTGCATTTAAAAGTTTATTAATTGTATATACAAAAATCAACTATTTATAAACACTATTATATACACTTTTGTATCTATATTTTATTTACATTTAAAAACATTAGGCTTCTTTTGTGGCACACAACTGTGTTCTTCGATCACTTATAAATATACAGTATTCACTAACTAAATAACGTCTAACACTAAATTAGTTCGCGCGCGATGAATAGCGTGCTGCAAGATTAAATTTGCGTCACACGTCTGCTCCCAACAGCGCTGCTGCTAGAACTAATTGCCGCTTGATATGAATAACGCCAAAGCGTCATAGCGTCATAGTGCCATGGCGATTACTTACATAGCACGCGTTATGCGTTATGAAGAGATAGCGCGCTATAATATGGTGCTATGCGCTATATTAACCACTATTAGAAAGGACTTCCACAAGGCTCTCCTTTATTCTATATATACTCACGATTTAGAACTTTCAGTAAATTCTTTTTGTAATGTTCTTCAATATGCAGACAATTTAGCTCTATACATCTCCTTAAACAACTTCATAGTGGCATGTTCCCGTCTAAACTCATCCATGGAGTATTTACAAGAATGGTTAACTAATCATGGCCTCTCTTTATCTGTGGCCAAGAGTAGTGTGGTGATCTTTTCCCGCCAAAGGCGAGTTCCCGATATATCTGTTGTATATGATAAGCAACCTATTCCAGTTAGAGGCAATGTTAAATTTTTGGGAATTATCCATGATTCGAAATTGACCTTCGGTCAATACATTGAATATATAACACAAAAATGTGAAAAAAACATAAATATTCTTCGGTCTTTGTCTGGTGTTTGGTGGGGGTCCCATCCTTTTTCTCAGAAATTACTGTACAATGCTTTAATACGAAGCCACCTTGACTATGGATGTTTTCTGTTGGAGCCTTGCAATAAATCATCCCTGAAAGTAATGGACAAAATTCAATCGAAATGCCTTCGCATTATTACAGAGGCAATGAAATCCTCACTAATAAATGTTCTTCAGGTTGAGTGCGTAGATCCTCCTTTAAGATTAAGAAGGCAATACCTTTCAGACAGATTCTTATTTAAGATCTGCCAGCTTTCAGATCATCCCCTAATTCCTAAATTGCATCTTCTTACAGAGTATATCTCATCTGACCGATACTGGACCCATAAGGACACTCCCTGCTTGTTTAAAAGTTTTGTAATTTTTCTTCAGCTTCCTTACCCAATCTTTCAATGTAAAATAAATCCACTCTTTGATGTCCTTTACGAGGCTATTGTTTACCAACCTGACATTCA